ACTGGATGGAATGAAGGGAGGGCTCTTCATCTTGGCCTAGGCCCAATGTTAGCTATGTTTTGTTAGCTTTGGCCTAGCTTTCTAGTCTATTAAGGTCATTTTGAATTTTCATCCTGTCCTCTGGGGTATTAGCTAATCCTCCTAATTTGGTGTCATCTGCAAATTTAATAAGTATGCCCCCTATTCTTTAATCCAAGTCAGGGGTCAGCAACCTTTTTGGGGGTGGGGCCGGTCCCCCTGTCCCCTGATGCCCCTGGGGCCGCGGTGGTACGCGCGTGTGCGCATGCACACTACCGCCGCCATGGTGTGCATGCGTACACGAGCACGGGGTGCTATTTTGGATGGTGCCCTGCACTCTCACGTGCATGCACACAGCTGCAGGCGACATTTTGGAAGGCCAAATGGCGCCCACCATGGTGCGTTTGCATGTGCGAGCGCTGTTTTGAAAGGCCAAACGGCACCATTTGGTGTTCCAAAATGGCGCCCGCCATCGTGCGCATGCGTGTGTGAGCGTGAGCACCATTTTTCTTTTCAAAATTACCATGTATGGATGTGAGAGCTGGACAGTTAAGAAAAATGACAGGAAGAAAATCAATGCATTTGAGACAATGTGGTGCTGGTGAAGAGTGCTGAGGATCCCATGGACAGCCAAAAGGACAAAGAAATGGGTCCTAGAGCAGATCAAGCCAGAAACCTGTTTTATTTTGGGCACATCATGAGAAGGGAGGGCTCATTGGAAAAGACAATAATGCTGGGAAAGGTGGAGGGAAGTAGGAAGAGAAGAAGGCCACATGCCATATGGATGGACGCTATTAAGGAGGTCATGGGTATTAAGGGGTTGCAGAAATTAAGAAGAGCAGTGAAGGACAGAGGGTCTTGGAGATGTCTCATCCATAGGGTCTTGATGTGTTGAGATTGACTTGAGGGCAGTTAACAACAACAAAAACAATACCATCAACCAAAAACAATTGAATTTTTAACTATGCTTTTAAAAGTCTATTGTACATCACTTTGAGTCCCAAAGGGGGGGGGGGAGGCAGGATATTAGTAGTAGTGGTAGTAGTAATAATAAACTTAAGTAGCTGGTAATAGTTAACAATTAGGAATTTTTTTATGTTCCAAATGGCTCTTTCACAATAATGATGAGACAGTCTCATAGAAAGTGAATAGGATGCTTCAAAGTTGATTTGACCCACACGTAACCTTCACTAGTCCATCTTGTTCTTTATGAGCAGTTCCACATTGTACATGGCAACTGTGTTCATTTCATAAGTGTTTTATGATGAAATATGTAAAGTACAACAGGTATGTAGCCTTCGTTGAGCACTTACTTCTGGGTGCCTCGGTGCCCAAATTGACCTGCAATTCCCCTACAGTATTTATGGACACATTTCTATTATTCACACTTTGTATGCTTGCTTCAGGAAACATCAGCTTATTCATGGCAAAACCATTTGCTGCGCAAAGATGAATCACTCAAGTTCTGAGTGGGTGTTCTTCAGTTTACTTGAAGGAAGCAAAAAAATTTAAAAAATGGAAAACTGTGGGAGCCTTACAGTGTACGCAGATGGCTCTTTCCATAAATGTATATTACGTGTCCCCCCCCCCCATGCCCCGCTATAAATATTGTTCAGGAATTGAAAGAACACAGTAATGGAGGAATAGGGGCTCTGTTTGCTAGGTACTCAGAGAAGCTGTTGCTATTTTAGCCTTTGTAAACTGCTTTGAATGATGTAACGCCATGAGATCTAATTAAAAAAGAAATCATGGCCCCATTACAGTGCACAGTGAAACAAATCACTTTTCATCTATATTTTTTGTCTGCTAACAGCCTCCCGGTTTGCCTACCACTCCTACAGTGTATTTTGTCACCAAAAATTGAAAGGCTTTTAGTAATTACAAATGACTCACTGTTCTTATGTAACAATTCATTGCGTACTGCCATGCTGACACTTATCCCTTGCCAGTCACTGCCTGAGATACCAGCTTAGAGCTGTATTCCCATTCATATTTCATCCTCTCTTCATTTATATGGTTTAGAAGGATGGACACAACAGCTGGGAGTTAATACAGTAATTGGTTTTCATCATTGGATAGACTATGCCTCTCCTCTCCAGAAATATGTAATGGAAACTAGTTGTTATTGGCTTTATTCAGGCCTATTCTACATTAGAAAAGCATTCAAAGCTATATCTAGAAATGCTATAGCCTTTAATTTGAATACATTATGTGATTTAGAGCTACCCTATTGGGACTATTTTGCATAGTTTATTATATTTGTAGTATGCATAAATAAGACCAGAGTTATATAATGCACACAAGACCCATTCCTGGTCACTGACAATAGTGCTGAGATTCCAATAGTTTGTTTTTGGGTTGTTGGTTTTTTAAAAATATTATTTAAGATCACACATTTTCCAGTTTATTTCTAAAGCTATAAGAATCAAACTAGAAACATCTTTTTAAAAAAAAAAAAAAAAGGCAAAAGAACACAAAGTTGCAACATATACTGTAGCATTTTAAAAAATTAATATAAAGGCAACACTAGTATTCTGTAGAATATACCAAAGGCACTCGCCATCTTGTTGTGTGCCTTTCAGTCATTTCTAATGTATGGTGACCATAAAGCAAAGCTATCAGGCTGAGAGAGTGTGACTCACCCAAGGTCATCCAGTAGATTTCCATGGCTGAGCAGGGAATCAATCCCTGGTTTCCTGAGTTGTAGTCCAACACTCAAACCATTATACCACACTGCTCTCTAGTCATCTACCCTTGGAAATATATGCTGTAGAATTGTAAACATGTATGGATATAGAACAAATAGAAGTAGGCTGAATGGGCTAAAGTCAACATTTATCCTACATAAAGTAGACCTAATGAAATTAATGGGACTTGTTGGTCATAACTAAAGTTTGATAATTTATGTGGATCTTGATGCAGGTCCAACACTGCATTTAACCCAAGACTTCCAGTTTATGTATCATGCATGCTCCTGTGCAACTAGTTCACATTTGGCTATAGCTAAAGGAACTAGTCAATGTAATTTCATAGCTTCTGTTTATAAACCTTGAGAATTCTTGGAGAACAGGAAATGTTTCTGCATACAAGAGATGGACCACCTTTAAAATATATATATAAATTGGAAAACCTGGGCAACTACCAATCAGAAAAGGTTCTAAAACTGACAGTCAAATAATCTGTCTATGAGCACTGTAAAGAATGTTGTGATTATTGAGAGCCAAGTTGAGTGCGTCAAAAATAAGTCTTGCCATACAATCTTCTGCTTTTTAAAAGCAACAACAGAATGACAAGCTTAGCAGATAAGAGTAATCCTGTGGATGTAGTGTATCTTGGTTTCAGTAAGACTTTCAACAAATTCCCTTTTGATATTCCTGCAGACAAGCTAGGAAAATGTGGTCTAGATAATGCTACTGATAGATGGATTTGTGTTGATAGATGATCTGTTCACAGAGCAAATCCAAAGAGATTCAGAGCTCACCAATGATTCCTGGAGAGAGGGACAAGTAGGTTAGTACAGAATTCTGTCCTAAATTGTTGTTCAACATCTTTATCAGTGACTTGGATCAATGAGAAGAAGGGGTTGAGAGGCTTAGCTAAACAAGACTGAGTGCTGTGGTGTGGTGGCAACGGAGTTTTAGGTTGTATCCATGGAGTCTGGAACAGAGTGGGGATCGGAGAAGCAGGGTGCTAGACTGGGTTGGGGGTGCTGATCCCTCTTGGAAATGATCAGACAAAATTGGACTAAAGATTGCTGTATAACTCCCTTGAGGAGTTATCAGTCAGTGTATTAAATGATCAAGCATGATTTTTAAAGAGACAGCTATTATTGTTGAACTCACCTACAGATAACAAAGATTGAATGCAATCTGTATACACCTATATGCTAGTAATCTACATTAAATAAAGGGAGAGGACTTTTAAGTACTGATTGTGCACATTGATACCTATGAATGATTGAATTGCAATGAGAGAATGCTATGATAGCAATGGGAGATACTATGATAGTAGCTGTGGTGGCCTGACTGGAAACCCCAAATCACAGCAGGAAATAGACTGGGGTTTCTAGTTTAGTGTGCCCTAAGAGCTCTCTGGCTGAGAATTCTAAATGCCCTCCCTAAACTGCAAATCCCAGGGTTCCACAGGAGGCAGCCATAGCAGTTAAAGTGGAATAATAGCACTGTAACTGTATAGTTGAATATTGTCCATAGTATAATGCTCAAAGCATTGCCTCACATTGGTTCTCATAAAATATATATACTGTAGATTTTTAATTGAGCCAAGGGTGGACTTACTACCTGGAGTAGGAGGACAGGGCAGGGGAGCTGGGGGGGGCATTTTTACTTTGTGTGCTAGATAAACATTTGAAGAAGTAAGGCCTACTACAGCATTGTAACTCAATGTAATTGTGTGAGTACCATCTATATATTTTTTTCGGTAATTTTTGTTTGCACTGTGTATATGAGACAACTTCTCTCAATATTTTAGACCTTTAGGGTATTGATCACTCATTTGTGAATCATAGAATCACAGTTAGAAGGGATTCCAATGTCATCTAGTTTAAACCCTTGCCAGTGCAGGAGTCCACAGTATAGCACTCCTGAGAGGGGGAAATCCAAGCTGTGCTTGGAAATCCCAAATAAAGGAGAATCCATCATCCTCCAAAGCACTCCTCTTAGTATCCTTGTTGTTCATGATGCAGGCAGAAAAAGACTATGTTGTAAATGAATACATTATACATAAAGCCCAAAAGTAAATTTTCATTCCATAGACATAATGATAGCCTGATCATTCAACACAGGAGCAATGTTTAACTGGGATAAATTCTCAGTAGAGCCAGTAAGAGAAACCTAACAGGCTACCAGAAAAGGTTTAAATGGTATAGATTAACATTGGGCACTCAGTCTCTAAAACAGGGGTAGGCAACCTAAGGCCTGGGGGCCGGATGCGGCCCCCCCAAGGCCTTTGGACTGGCCCCAGGCCGGCCCTGCCGCCACCGCCGCTCACCATGATGATATTGATTATTGTTGTTATTACTTGTTCTTGGGGTTTTCTTGGCAAAATCTCCACAGGGGTCTTGCCATGGCTTTTCTGGGGCTAAGAGAGTGTGCATGCATATTTTTTTTATTTTTTAAAAAAATTATTTATTTATTTATTTATTTATTTATTTTTGGTGCTTCGGCTCCCCAATTGTCTGAGGGACAGCAACCCGGCCCCCGGCTCAAAAAGGTTGCCTACCCCTGCTTTAAAAGGTTAGCCATCACTGTTCTAGTGCATCAACTTTACAGTTGATACCAAATACAGGGGTGCCTTTTTATTCTTCCTCTTTTAATTTTAACCTGCTCACATATTTTCTTTTGTTTTTACTTTGGATATTTAGGACTTCTCCAAGAAAAGAAAATCCATCTTGTGCTTCTCATTGTGTAGATGAGAAAGAAACCCTCATTCTTTCCAAAGCTTGGCTTCTGCATAAGCTGTAGAACCTTAAAGAAATTTTCTTGATTCTTCAGGTTTGGGCTGATTTAAGAACATAAGAGTTATGCTGGATTAGACTGAGGAACAGAGGAACAGCCTGCATGCCAGCATTCCCCCCCCCCATACACACACAAAAAAACCACCCCAATTTTTGAGTTCTTGGGTTAATCAACAGAACTATAGTGTTCAAATGAAAGGAGTAAGTACTGTAGTACCATTTGTTCTGCTTTGGTCAGACCTCATCTGGAGTAGATGTGGGCACCACAATGTAAGAAGATATCAACAAGTTATAATGTGTCTAAAAGCAAGTGACTATAAGAAATTGAAATGCTTGGAAACTGATTCCCAAAAGGAATTAGAGTGTTGGGTATATTTAGCTTGGAGGAGAGATGATTGAAAGATGATGTGATTGCCATTTTCAGACATCAAAATTTGTCACATGCAAGATGGAGCAAGCATGTTTCTCTTGCTCCAGAGAGTAGGACCCATATAGTGGGTTCAAATTACAACATATCAGATTCTGATTAAACATTAGGAGAAACGGCTTCCAGGTAAGAGCTGTTCAGTAGTGAATCAGACTACCCTAGAGTAGGGTGGACTCTTCTTCATTGGAGGTTTTTAAACAAATGGTGAATGGCCATCTGCGAGAGATGGTTTAGCTGTGGACTCCTCTACTAGTGGGTTTGGAGTAGATGACCGACCTCTACAATTTTATGTTTCTCTGCAATGATAATAGTGGTACAGAGTATAATTCACTGTGATAATACTGACACTGTAAAGTTGATGCACCAGAACATGATGGTGAACCTTTTAGAAACTGAGTGCCCAAACTGCAACCCCAAACCCAAATATTTATTGCAAAGTGCTGCATCCCTCTGGCTGTCTAGTAATGAACTCTGATGAATGCTGTGCTGGGGTGACAGCATGCATGCTCACAGAGAAGGCTCTGAATGCCCTCTCTGGCATGCATGCCATAGGTTTGCCACCACTGCACTAGAACATTTTTAGCAAGGCAATGAGAGGAACAATTGGGAATATGATGACTGGGAATAATCCCTACTGGCCAACTAAACTACAAATTATGAGCATGATAATAATAATAATAATAATAATAATAATAATAATAATAATAATAATAAGTTTTATTTTTAGCCCGCCTCTCTGCAAGGCAATCGAGGCGGGTTACAGCAATTTAAAATGATACAGCTAAAACACATTCCCTTCCTCCAGATCTACCCACCCACCCCTTAAAACAAGATTAAACCAAGAATTCAGTTAAAAAACGAACAGAACATTACACATTAAAATCTTAAAATACGATACATAAATACGATACATTTCATAGTTAACAAATTCTGTTAACTGTGCTGTTGGTAATACTGTTGTTGCCCAGATCATCCATTGCCTTATAACTGCTTTTAAAAATCCACAGTTACCGTGTTGTGCTAATTCTTTTGTTTTTGTTAGGAACACTACGGGTCTTTGAATGGATTGGTCCTCAGCTGGATAGGTGATGGAAATAATGTTCTGAATTCTATTATGCTAAGTGCTCCTAAATTTGGGATGGATCTGCATGTTGCAACTCCAAAGGTAAGGAAATAATGAGGTTGGGGAGACAAGAATGTTTGAGAAAATTTGGATAAATTTTCTGAAAAATATACAAAATAGTATGTTCCTCCTAAAAAGTTCCAGTAGAGTAAATTATCAGCTTTGAAAAATAGCAATGTCACCAAAGGTGTTAGCATCATATAAGAAAGCCAAATGAATTTTGGTTAGAAGATATTTTGTAAAATGTTCAAATAGAAGACCACAGATAATTGTAGTTGTTAACTGCCCTTGAGTCAATCTTGACCCATGGTGACCCTATGGATGAGACATCTCCTCTGCTTAATTCCTGCAACCCCGTACCCATGACTTCCTTAATAAAGTCCATCCATCTGGCATGTGGACTTCCTCTCTCCCTACTTCCCTCTACATTTCCCAGCATTATTGTCTTTCCTAATGATTGTTCCCTTTCCATGATGTGTCGGAAGTACTACAGCCTCAGTTTGGTCATCTTAGCTTCCAGGGAGGTTTCCAGCTTGATCTGCTCTAGGACCCATTTGTTTGTCCTTTTGGCTGTCCATGGGATCCTCAGCAATCTTCTCCAGCACCACATCTCAAATGAATTGATTTTTCTTCCTATCATCTTTCTTAACTGTCCAGCTCTCACATCCATACATGGTAATAGGGAATACAATGGCTTATATGATTCTAACTTTTG